AAATATGTTAAAATTATAAAAATCAACTTAAATAAGATTAATTTTAAGAGATTAACACGATCATATTTGGTTAATATAAAAATACTTTTAGTAAAGTTAGACTTAAGATTATAAAGTAAATTAACATTATAATTTGTAAATCAAAGAGCCTAAGATATGGTTGAGGATTTTGTTAGGCTCAAGAGTTCATAATAAAGAGCCAGACTCTCATGAAATTATTATTTTGTTATTAATACTTTTTATTACTTAGTTGGTACAAGATATAAAACAATGGGAAAAATTTATCTGAATTATATAAAATTGTGTATCTATTTTTTAATCTATTTAACTTATATACTACTATAAATTCTGATTAATTTTTAATATTTTTTATTATTTAATTAAATGTTTAAACCAAAAATGATAGAAAATGAAAAAGATTTTAAATGTTCTAAAGGGCATAAGTTACAAATTGTCACAATTGCACTTGATCCAAAATTATCAAGGAATTAGAGACTGTTATGCAAGGAATGTTTAGAGAATATAGAATTAGATGCCAAAGTGGTTGGATTGAGAACAATAATTTCTTTAATTGAAGAAAATTAGGGAAAAAAGCTGGAAAAAATATAAAATGTAATAATGAATGAAATAAATTTAATTGAATAATTACATGGTATTGTTGATTAAATGAAATCATTTGTAATCCAATAATTTACCGAATTAATTACTATAATAATGGAGTGGATTCAGAGTCTTAAATAATAAGGATCATAATTTACTCAATATAGTTTTTATGAAGAATTAGAAATTATGATCTTAAAATAAAATAAAACTGATGATAACTTACCAATATTAATTAATGAAATTTAGAAAACCAATCTTTGTTGGATATCTAAATTTAATCCTAAATTGGATTACTTTAATTAATTGTTAGAATATAATAAATGTTAAGAAATATTGTCAAATGTAAATTTAGGTTCCTAGAATAATACACAAAATAAATAATAATAATAATTTAGAGGAGGTGAAATCAAATTAAAGTTAATTGATTAATCTGTTAAATAAAGTGAGAGATGTGATGGTATAGCTTTTGATTCTTCTGGGTCAATTATGTTATCAACTTAATAGAATGATATTAAAGTATGGAGCTTTCAAAATGGAACAATTAAATTAATAAAAACTTTGTAAGGACATACCAAATGGATTTAATGTTTAATTTATAGTAAGAAATAGAATTCTTTTATTTCAGGTGATGTGACAATAAGATGCTGGAAATAATAGGACTCAACTAAATGGATTAGTTCATAACCTTATGAAGAACATAAATTATTTGTAAAATGTCTTTTATTGAATTCAAATGAGGATTTACTATTTTCTGGAAGTGATGATGAATCAATTAAAGTATGGAAGGTTGATTTTAATAAAAATATATTGAAATACATTTATTCATTAAATAAACATGAAGGATATGTATTAGCATTAAGTTTAAATTATTCAGAAACATAATTAGTATCATGTGCAAAAGGTAAGAATTAAATTATTATTTGGGAAAGAAAGGAGTAAGATAAATATGAATTCAAATATTTTGTTAAATAATCAATTTAAGAATAAGGGAAAAAGGTTAGGTTTATTAAAGAAAATTAATTTATTTGGGTAACTAGTTGCAAAGAAATAGATAAATTTTATGTATTTGAATTGAAAGAAGGAGTCTTTTAAGAAATTTAGGAAAAGACTATTGATTTAGTTACAAATAATTAGATCTTGGATGAATGTCGCTTTCCAATAATGTATAATAAGGACAAGAATTTAATAATAATCAGACATAAAACATACTTTTATATCATTAGAGAAATGAATAATGGGAATTTCAAAATAGTTGATTAATTTAATTGTGACTCATATTCAATTTATGGGAATATGACAAATAATGGTCAATATTTGGTTTATTGGGATGATAAAAAGAAAGGATATTCAATATATGAATTATCAAATAAATGAATAATAATATTAACATTAATTTTAATCTTTTTTCTATTTTTTAAGTTATCTATTAGAATATGTGAATAGTACTCAATATACAGATTAAAAAGGTACAGTATTTAATTTGAAGCAGCATTTACAAATGGCTAAGATTAGTACTCTTAGAATTCTAGTAAACTATTTGGTTTTCATATTTTAATATTATAGCTTTTTTAAGATAAATGATCTGATTTGGCATCCATTTGGAGTGTATATAAGGATAATTTTGGATACCATAATAATTAAAAAAATCCTTATATTTAAGAATTACTAACTTATAAAATGAACATGTAATCACTTAAAACAATTAAACAAACTTTATTAGAATTTTTGATCACCCATTTTGAAAAAGTTTATATAAGGAAAAATAAGAGCGAATTTTTAAAATGGAAATTGAACTCAAAATAACTATCTATCAGTTTTAAAAGCGCTTAGAAGAGTAATAATTTTCTAAAATAAATATTTTGACCTATCTAGATATTTAGAATGAAAAATTAAATACATATTCCATCAAAATTATTCTATATAAAATAATTAATATGAAGATAAAAAATGTATTTCAATAATACATTTATCTTGAATGAAAAAAAAATTAATTTCAAAAACATTTTATTTAAAACCAAAAAATAACAATAATTATTAGTAAATTTATTTTATCTTCTATATTTATTTATAGATATAGGATTTGTATATTTAATTTCAATTAAATTATTGAAAACGCTACATTTATTTGCTCTACTTTAGAATCGAAATATCAATTTACTTCCAATGCAC